GACTACACTGAGGTCACACCGCCAACTGCCTGGCCAGGCATGTACATCCTGCCCTGACTACACTGAGGTCACACCGCCAACTGCCTGGCCAGGCATGTACATCCTGCCCTGACTACACTGAGGTCACACCGCCAACTGCCTGCCCAGGCATGTACATCCTGCCCTGACTACACTGACTGAGGTCACACCGCCAACTGCCTGGCCAGGTACACCACACCCTGCCCTGACTACACTGAGGTCACACCACCAACTGCCTGGCCAGGTACACCACACCCTGCCCTGACTACACTGAGGTCACACCGCCAACTGCCTGGCCAGGTACACCACACCCTGCCCTGACTACACTGAGGTCACACCACCAACTGCCTGGCCAGGTACACCACACCCTGCCCTGACTACACTGACTGAGGTCACACCGCCAACTGCCTGGCCAGGTACACTACATCCTGTCCTGACTACACTGAGGTCACACCGCCAACTGTCTGGCCAGGTACACTACACCCTGCCCTGACTACACTGAGGTCACACCACACCCTGCCCTGACTACACTGACTGAGGTCACACCGCCAACTGCCTGGCCAGGTACACTACACCCTGCCCTGACTACACTGAGGTCACACCACCAACTGCCTGGCCAGGTACACCACACCCTGCCCTGACTACACTGAGGTCACACCACCAACTGCCTGGCCAGGTACACTACACCCTGTCCTGACTACACTGACTGAGGTCACACCGCCAACTGCCTGGCCAGGTACACTACACCCTGCCCTGACTACACTGAGGTCACACTGCCAACTGCCTGGCCAGGTACACTACATCCTGTCCTGACTACACTGAGGTCACACCACACCCTGCCCTGACGACACTGACTGAGGTCACACCGCCAACTGCCTGGCCAGGTACACTACATCCTGTCCTGACTACACTGAGGTCACACCGCCAACTGCCTGGCCAGGTACACTACATCCTGTCCTGACTACACTGAGGTCACACCACACCCTGCCCTGACTACACTGACTGAGGTCACACCGCCAACTGCCTGGCCAGGTACACTACATCCTGCCCTGACTACACTGAGGTCACACCGCCAACTGCCTGGCCAGGTACACTACACCCTGTCCTGACTACACTGAGGTCACACCACACCCTGCCCTGACTACACTGACTGAGGTCACACCGCCAACTGCCTGGCCAGGTACACTACACCCTGTCCTGACTACACTGAGGTCACACCACACCCTGCCCTGACTACACTGACTGAGGTCACACCGCCAACTGCCTGGCCAGGTACACCACACCCTCTCCTGACTACACTGAGGTCACACCACACCCTGCCCTGACTTCACTGACTGAGGTCACACCGCCAACTGCCTGGGGTGTAGGAAGGCCAGGTCCGTTGGAAGTAGGAGAGAGAGGAGGGGAGGCAAATTAGGTGAGTTATTGGGATTGTCAGATGTTCAATTAGACTCCTTATCTTAGTGAAGGGATATTTCACTTACTACATGCAAGTATTAAACACATGAAAGTTGAAACCGTCTCAGTATGCCTTTCAACATGTTCAAAGGCTTAGTAGTTTACAATCAATAACTGATCAGTTGGAACAAAATGATATCTTTGAAATAATGGAGCAATGGATTCCGTGCCCTGGAAACATGTTCTTGTGTGTTCGTGAAATGGTATTTGTGTGGAAGTTCATGTGAAATGATGTATCCATGGACTGCAATGTTCTGCCTAATAGGAAGTTTGTATACTTGTCATGGTGACACATTTTTGTGTGTCTGTTAAATGATGGTTTTATTGATGCCATGTTCTCCACACACAGAGGTTCGTCACCTGGCATCCATGTTCCCATTTCTGTTCCTGTGTGTCTGTGAAATGATGGTTTTATTGATGCCATGTTCTCCACACACGGAGGTTTGTCACCTGGCATCCATGTTCCCATTTCTGTTCCTGTGTGTCTGTTAAATGATGGTTTTATTGATGCCATGTTCTCCACACACAGAGGTTCGTCACCTGGCATCCATGTTCCCATTTCTGTTCCTATGTGTCTGTGAAATGATGGTTTTATTGATGCCATGTTCTCCACACACGGAGGTTTGTCACCTGGCATCCATGTTCCCATTTCTGTTCCTGTGTGTCTGTTAAATGATGGTTTTATTGATGCCATGTTCTCCACACAGGGAGGTTCGTCACCTGGCATCCATGTTCCCATTTTTGTTCCTGTGTGTCTGTTAAATGATGGTTTTATTGATGCCATGTTCTCCACACACGGAGGTTCGTCACCTGGCATCCATGTTCCCATTTCTGTTCCTGTGTGTCTGTGAAATGATGGTTTTATTGATGCCATGTTCTCCACACACGGAGGTTTGTCACCTGGCATCCATGTTCCCATTTCTGTTCCTGTGTGTCTGTTAAATGATGGTTTTATTGATGCCATGTTCTCCACACACGGAGGTTTGTCACCTGGCATCCATGTTCCCATTTCAGTTCCTGTTAGGCCGTGAAATGATGGTTTTATTGATGCCATGTTCTCCACACACAGAGGTTCGTCACCTAGCATCCATGTTCCCATTTCTGTTCCTTTGTGTCTGTGAAATTATGGTTTTATTGATTCCATGTTCTCCACACACGGAGGTTTGTCACCTGGCATCCATGTTCCCATTTCTGTTCCTGTGTGTCTGTGAAATGATGGTTTTATTGATGCCATGTTCTCCACACACGGAGGTTCGTCACCTGGCATCCATGTTCCCATTTCTGTTCCTGTGTGTCTGTGAAATGATGGTTTTATTGATGCCATGTTCTCCACACACAGAGGTTCGTCACCTGGCATCCATGTTCCCATTTCAGTTCCTGTTAGGCCGTGAAATGATGGTTTTATTGATGCCATGTTCTCCACACACGGAGGTTCGTCACCTGGCATCCATGATCCCATTTCTGTTCCTGTGTGTCTGTGAAATGATGGTTTTATTGATGCCATGTTCTCCACACACAGAGGTTCGTCACCTGGCATCCATGTTCCCATTTCTGTTCCTGTTAGGCCGTGAAATGATGGTTTTATTGATGCCATGTTCTCCACACAGGGAGGTTCGTCACCTGGCATCCATGTTCCCATTTCAGTTCCTGTTAGGCCGTGAAATGATGGTTTTATTGATGCCATGTTCTCCACACACAGAGGTTCGTCACCTGGCATCCATGTTCCCATTTCTGTTCCTTTGTGTCTGTGAAATGATGGTTTTATTGATGCCATGTTCTCCACACACAGAGGTTCGTCACCTAGCATCCATGTTCCCATTTCTGTTCCTTTGTGTCTGTGAAATTATGGTTTTATTGATTCCATGTTCTCCACACACGGAGGTTTGTCACCTGGCATCCATGTTCCCATTTCTGTTCCTGTGTGTCTGTGAAATGATGGTTTTATTGATGCCATGTTCTCCACACACGGAGGTTCGTCACCTGGCATCCATGTTCCCATTTCTGTTCCTGTGTGTCTGTGAAATGATGGTTTTATTGATGCCATGTTCTCCACACACAGAGGTTCGTCACCTGGCATCCATGTTCCCATTTCAGTTCCTGTTAGGCCGTGAAATGATGGTTTTATTGATGCCATGTTCTCCACACACGGAGGTTCGTCACCTGGCATCCATGATCCCATTTCAGTTCCTGTGTGTCTGTGAAATGATGGTTTTATTGATGCCATGTTCTCCACACACGGAGGTTCGTCACCTGGCATCCATGTTCCCATTTCAGTTCCTGTTAGGCCGTGAAATGATGGTTTTATTGATGCCATGTTCTCCACACACAGAGGTTCGTCACCTGGCATCCATGTTCCCATTTCTGTTCCTTTGTGTCTGTGAAATGATGGTTTTATTGATTCCATGTTCTCCACACACGGAGGTTCGTCACCTGGCATCCATGTTCCCATTTCTGTTCCTGTTAGGCCGTGAAATGATGGTTTTATTGATGCCATGTTCTCCACACACGGAGGTTCGTCACCTTGCATCCATGTTCCCATTTCTGTTCCTGTTAGGCCGTGAAATGATGGTTTTATTGATGCCATGTTCTCCACACACGGAGGTTCGTCACCTGGCATCCATGTTCCCATTTCAGTTCCTGTTAGGCCGTGAAATGATGGTTTTATTGATGCCATGTTCTCCACACACGGAGGTTCGTCACCTGGCATCCATGTTCCCATTTCTGTTCCTGTTAGGCCGTGAAATGATGGTTTTATTGATGCCATGTTCTCAACACACGGAGGTTCGTCACCTGGCATCCATGTTCCCATTTCTGTTCCTGTTAGGCCGTGAAATGATGGTTTTATTGATGCCATGTTCTCCACACACGGAGGTTCGTCATCTGGCATCCATATTCCCATTTCTGTTCCTGTGTGTCTGTGAAATGATGGTTTTATTGATGCCCAGCCCACACCACAAGGAAGTTTGTCCAAGTTCCTGTTTCCCTGTTCCTGTGGTTTTCATTGATGCCATGTTCTTGACACATGTTCAGTGCGTCCATTATGGTTCAACTGATGACCGACCTACTGATCAGGGATGTCCATATTGATTAGAGTGAGTGAGTGAGTTGGGTTTAACGCCGTTTTTAACAGTATTCTAGTTATATCGCGGCGTGTCAGCTTAATATGGGAGGAAAGCCCGAAGTGATGCAGGTCTCAGACGTTTACCACTTCGGTGAAACCCACGAGCACGGGTATGGTGATGACAAACCTAGAAACATAATTGGGGTGAACCGGGAATCGAACCCACAATCATAGGTTTCTGGCGTGCCCAAGGGATGCAACTCTACACAGCGAATCATGGCAGCTTAAACAACTGGGCCACTGTGCCCCCCCATATTGATTAGACCTCAGTGCAGATCTTCCAATACTGTACTGACAATCAATATATCTGTAGAAGTAGACATAATTCATGCCGTCACCCACAACACAACATGATGCAAACTTTCTGCTGCTACTGACAAAAGGCTATATACCAAGTACTCACCTCTCGTCCGTACTGGTCGCTCTCTCCGCAGGCCACTCATTGGCTGAAATGATATATATCACCATTAAATATCGAACCAGAGTTATCATCGTTAATAATTCTAAGAATACTACCTCTATTACATATCAATCCTGTATTTTTTTGGCTTCAATCACACTAACTAAAATTGTCAGATTTTCAACAGACATCCTCTTCACTGTCAATTACACACAACTAGTTGTCACCAAGTAGTCTCGTAGTGAGTGAGTGAGTGAGTTGGGTTTAACGCCACTTTTAACAGTATTCCAGTTATATCACGGCGTGTCAGCTTAATGTGGGAGGAAAGCCCGAAGTGATGCAAGTCTTAGACGTTTACCACTTCGGTGAAACCCACGAGCACGGGTATGGTGCTGACAAACCTAGAAACATAATCGGGGCGAACCGGGATTCGAACCCACAATCATAGGTTTCTGGCATGCCCAAGGGACGCAACTCTGCACAGCGAATCGCGGCGCCTTAGACGACTGGGCCACCTGTGCCCCCAGTAGTCTCGTAAGTACCCAAGCCATGACGTCATAATGGCAGCAACCTCACCTTTTTTCCCTCATCTCCTACTAGAGGTAGATGAATTGGGGAGGTGGGAGGGAGTAATTCGTAAGTAATAAAGGTAGTATTGTTAGAATTATTAACAATGATAACTATTGTTTGATAATTCTTACGAAACTTCTACCTCTATTACATCTCTGCCAGAATATACTAGAGGGATCCAGTGGGATCTGCCTCTAGTAGCTCCCTGTGTAACTGACAGCAATCCTTATTCTGGAAACCATTATTTACTTATACTAATCCTACTGAGATATTTTCCTCTGAAATTCCCCTAGAGGACTTGAAAATCAGAAACTATGTCAATAATCAGTTAAATATGTAATATTATCACTACATGTACCGTTATATTCGCTGATTTTGACCATAATAAACCTGGATAAGTGACCTATAATACCATCGATTACATCACTTCTGTTTCTGACGTCACTTAGCTATACTCATGAGCATGTAGTCTCTTCCAGCAGCACTATTACCTTAAAAATATATTCATTTATATATGTCTCTTATTATAGCAATCTTATGAGAATAATTTTAGGTTAATGTGACCTACTACGAGGTGCTAGATTGTCACTACTACTACTACAGTAGATGCTGACTCCAGCACACACAGGAAAAAGAGGACGTCTTTTGAAATTCTGAATATTTTAGTTACAGGATTTATGGCAGATATGTAATAGAGGTAGAAGTTTTGTAAGAATTATCTCTGATATGAAAAGGTAACAAACAAAATTACAAACAAAAGTGGCAGGACATACTGGGAAATAAGGTTAAAAAATGTTTTAATTTGGATCAGAATCATGTGAGCACTGGAGACGAGCTGAGATAATTAATATCAATGGCAATATGAGTGTGGGAGAATGCATAAATGAGACGGGTTCTATACTGCTTTTAGCAATATTGCAAGGATTTATGGGGAACTATGAAATGTAATTCAAAGCAAAAAAATAAATCATATGTTCTTCTGAAAAGGTAGCTATAAACTTCATGTCATTTCACATTATTTATGTCAGACAAAACTCCGTGTTATATTGACAGATCTGTTAATCACTTGTTAAATGTTCCATGATGACAAAAAGTCAAACTTAACAATAAGAATACTCTCACTACCTCTTTGTTTGGCTGTACTCAATAATTTCAATGCAGAGAAACCAACCAACAGCTCATTTCCACTTTGACAACCAACAGATAGGTAGATAAAACACATAGAGAAGAAATTCCTTCAGCAGATGGGAAGCAACAGGCATGTCCTAAGCTTGTGGTGATTGACTGCCTTACAGGAACTAGTTATATACAGATTAACACTGTTTCTGCAATCTGTCACTGTCAAACTCCATGACAAAATGATGTGCTTTACTATTTGAGTTTAAGTAGCAAGGACAGCCTCATATAGACAAGTATTACTGTAGTCAGTGTCAAGACATCAGTGTCAGAATAACAACATTAACCTATTGAGGTCAGTGCCTTTGTCAAGATACAACATTCCCTTTTAGAGGTGTCAATGTAGACAGTATCAATCTCTAGACACAACAACGTTCCCATATAGAGGTGTCAATGTAGACAGTATCAGTCTCTGGACACAACAATATTCCTTAATAGAGGTGCCAATGTAGAAAGCATCAATCTCTGAACACAACAACGTATCCTTATAGAGGTGTCACTGTAGACATCATCAATCTCTGGACACAACAACGTTCCCTTAGAGAGGTGTCAATGTAGACAGTATCAGTCTCTGGACACAACAACATTCCTTAATAGAGGTGCCAATGTAGACAGTATCAATCTCTGGACACAACAACGTTCCCTTATAGAGTTGTCAGTGTAGACAGCATCAATCTCTAGACACAACAACGTTCCTTTATAGAGGTGTCAATGTTGACAGCATTAATCTCTAGACAAAAACAACGTTCCTTTATAGAGGTGTCAATGTAGACAGTATCAATCTCAAGACAAAACAACGTTCCTTTATAGAGGTGTCAATGTTGACAGCATCAATCTCTAGACAAAACAACGTTCCTTTATAGAGGTGTCAATGTTGACAGCATCAATCTCTAGACAAAACAACGTTCCTTTATAGAGGTGTCAGACAACAACATTCCCTCATAGAGATGTCAGTGTAGACAGTTTCTAGACACATCGATCACCTGTTGAGGAGTTATTACTGGCAGTGTAGACAGCATCAATCTCTGGACACAACAACGTTCCTTTACAGAGGTGTCAGTGTAGACAGTATCAATCTCTGAACACAACAACATTCCCTTACAGAGGTGTCAGTGTAGACAGTATCAGTCTCTAGACACAACAACGTTCCCTTATTGAGGTGTCAGTGTAGACAGCATCAGTCATTAGAAAGCAGGAAAATCACACCAGGTCAGAGCAACATGATCAGCTATCAGCCATTACCATGGCAACAACACACATTTTCATGATATATATGTATAACAAAAGTATGGTCTTATGTTATACACACAAAGAGATTACGAGAATTTAATTTTATCAATCAGGTTCCCTCTTGATAACGCATGTCCTCACATGGTAGACATAATGCTAGTGTGATATTTCGAATTAATGAATAAGAAGCAATTATATCCACAATCGTGACAAGTACATTGCTCTTTCACAAAGCAATACGGGTGATGACCATTTTTTTGGTGCCGGTTGTTTGCTGTATATATGCTGTGTTATAAAGCATATATACAGCAAACAGCAGGAATATGTCCGGCACATATGACCGTTTCCGGACCCCTGCCTGTATATATGTTTATAATGAAATACAGTTATAACAAACTAAAATTAGTGGTCGTTTTGAGTTTGTTATAACTGTAGTTTCGGGAAGGTGAACGGTTATTTCGGGTTTCACATATTGTTGCCATGAGGTGAATAACACCTGTGTCTTGAGTGTGATGAGCAAACATTCTAACCACTTACCTAACATATGTGGCATCTCCTTGGGCAAGTGACTTTGTTCGAAATGTGCCTCTGTTCACCCAGCAGTGAATGGGTACCCGGTAGGATGAGATGGCAATACGGTTGTTAACCTTCTAGCACCTAACAGGCAGCTTGGGTTGTATATTCCCCAGGGAGCTGAGAATGATTCTTGAGTGCACAGTTATCCAGTGACCAGAGTAATAATAGCGCAATATAAATAGCCTATTATATGTTACCCACTTCCTCTTTTGAAATATGGAGTATTCATAACAAGTTCATTGTAATATGGGTAACATCAACTAAGTCTTAGATACCCTATGCGTGGTGAATTCTATCTATCATTTTCACGTTTATTTGTCTCGTTAAAAACAAATGCACTAAAATTGTTGAAATGTAGTTATGCATATTGATACATTGATTCCTGAGTCATATGGTTTAAAACAAACAACCTGTTAACTTTATTTTGAAATGTCATTTGCCAAGAAATATGTTCACTGAATTATTTGATAAACAAGAAGTCACCCAAATCTCCTGCCATCTTTGCAAGCTCAACTGTAAATAAATTATCTTGGAATTCTGTGAAAATGATGGGCACCAATACAAAATAGAAACTATGAAAGGTCTGGCACCAGAAACAAACCCTACCCTCTTTTGAACTTGCTGCTTCAAGAAAGGCACAATTCAGCCAAATGTCCACAATATGTCTTCATATACATACAGGAACAAAATAGACCCACATTTTAAATGATTATCAGCACTATAAGGGGATGTGCATAGATGGTGAATTAATATACTGACCAACAACAAGGTGCCATTTTTCGCAAACTTGTTTGTTTGTTGTTTAATGCCGTACTCAGCAATATTTCAGGTATATGATGGCTGTCTGTAAATAATCGAGTCTGGACCAGACAATCCAGTGATTAACATCATGAGCATCGATCCACGCAATTGGGATACGATGACATGTATCAACCAAGTCCACGAGCCTGACCACCCGATCATATAAGTTGCCTCTTATGCAAGCATAGTCGCCTCTTATGGCAAGGTCTTCACGGGTCTTTTTCACAAATACCGAAAAATTCAGTGATAAGTTACTTGTGCTCCTGTCAAATTCACCCATGTCTGTGTCGAAACTTTATGGTTTCCGAGTGTTTAACACATGTTTGATCTTTGATCTTATCTACATTGCATTATGACCATTGACACTGATATTGCACGAGGTCTGAGTAGTAACCAGTATGCCACTTGTGACTAAAAAGGTGCGATATTATGCGGTTAAGAAACAGATTACTGCACTCCCGCCTGACATATACCATTTACCTTTTTAGTCGTGAGTGAATGTCATTTAACACCATGCAGATACTCGAGTCTCAGCCAGAGGTGAGGTGAAATGAGGTTTAACGTCGCGTCCAAGATTATTGCACTTATATAGCGACGTGCATGTACGTGTGTGTGTTTGTGTGGCTGCTTGAACTAGTCCGGACTGGTGCCGATTTATAGTGCTAGCTCACTGAGATACCATGCCGCAGTTTAACATGAATACCCCACTCAGACACAGTATACTGACTCCGAGCCGACCAGTCCTTGTTTCAGCCCCTTAATGCCGAGCGCCAGACAGGGTAACAACAAGTACCATCTTTTAACGTCTTTTGGTATGATGCGGGCAGGGATCGAACCCCGGACCTTCCGCTCTCCGGGCGGACGCTCTACCACTAGACCACGGAGGCGGTCGTCTCAGCCAGACAAATCAGCAGTTGGATCAGCAGCCTCCAACACCGTCAGGTACAATGACACGCTATCATTTCAGTCGCCAAGTAGAAAACCGATCCGAATTTGTCACTCTTAGCAAGCAGTAACACCAAGCAGAGTGATGGGAACCTGCTCTAACACATTATGTCACATGTCTCAGGAAATGAAAACATAATCATCACCTTTGTTGTGAATCTTTGATGTAAAACAAACACTTTGATGTATTCCTTGATATTTTTATGATTAAGTAGAACATTAATTCAAAACAATGTCATTTCTCACTCCTCTGTGACAGGAACAAGTTCGGAGTTAGTTCAAAGGTTGTGTCACAGTTGACATGATTCACGACTTCTTGGATGAATCAATTGACTATTTATCACGATCAGCTTTGTGATGTCAGTCACTGGATTGTCTGATCCAGACTCAGTTATTTACAGACCACAATTTGCTGAACTCAGTGTTAAACAACAAACAAATAATAATTTAAATTATCCTTGTGCATGAGGCCTGTATTGGTAAAGGTTGTTCTTTCCCTACGACCTATCACTTTTGCATGCATACTCTGACAGACATATTATGCCAACATTCTTGATTTATGTTTTAGATGTTTGTGTTCTTAATTTATCGCTAACCACACCAATCATAGTTCACTGACATGTCCTATACAAATTTCAACAAGCTCAACACACCCAACAGCATAAGAGATGTGAAACCCTTTCACTAGGCCTGGTTCCTGACCAAGCAATTAGCATTCGGTAATTACTTTAACTACACCTGATCCTAATAAAAATAGGTCCGAACGAATCAATGTTTCGTAAGCTTCACAAAGAGGTTAGGGCACATCAAAAGATTAATCTTGCAGTCTATGCCTATGCATCTATATTAAGACCATAACACTGCTGGTATTGCCCTTTTGTTTTATAAACAACGTCTTTGCATAATAAAGTGCAAATAAATGCCACAGGGCCCATCTCAATCAGAATTCAGACAACAAAACTAATGACAACCAACAATGTTATTCTACACCTTGTACGCCTTGAAAACTGCTTCTACACTACACAAGGCTTGTTTTCTTTCCCATATAAGATAAGTGTTGAAAAAGTGAGATTAAATACATCAATACTTCAGTTGAACTGATCGAGGTTATCCCACTATTTTGACACCGATGGACACCCATGTGGCACTCATCAATACTTCAGTTAAACCGATCGAGGTTATCCCACTATTTTGACACCGATGGACACCCATGTGGTACACATCAATACTTCAGTTAAACTGATCAAGGTTATCCCACTATTTTGACACCGATGGACACCCATGTGGTACACATCAATACTTCAGTTGAACTGATCGAGGTTATCCCACTATTTTGACACCGATGGACACCCATGTGGTTCACATCAATACTTCAGTTGAACTGATCGAGGTTAAACTGATCGCGGTTATCCCACTATTTTGACACCGATGGACACCAATGTGGTACACATCAATACTTCAGTTAAACTGATCGCGGTTATCCCGCTATTTTGACACCGATGGACACCCATGTGGCACACATCAATACTTCAGTTAAACTGATCGCGGTTAAATTGATCGCAGTTATCCCACTATTTTGACACTGATGGACACCCAGGAATGATGTAATGATTCTTACTAGGCGAGTCCTACCTGCTGAAAGATGTGTCTTGTCAATCCTACAAATTCTCAGCAAAGTATTTTGACTGATATTTGAACCTCATCAAAGACGTTAAAGAGTCTGGTGTCATGAATTGAAGACTATTGGGGTTGCAGGAGCTCTGGAAAAAAGTTTAGAAGAGAACCATGAAATATGAGCGCCATCTGATCCTGATGCAAGATGTGTAATCCTGCCTAATGAAAAATATAGACATAATTTGCATATCACAAAGTGTACAAACTTTAGGGAAGCAAGTAGTTTGTCTAAGCACTCTCTGAGTAATAATTACATCAAAGATAAACTTCAAAACGGGTTAAAGTGCAACAGGCCAGCAGACAAGAGCTTATTTCTTTCCTACGGTATTTAGCAAAACAATATTGGCTCCCAAATATCACACAGAACTGTTTTGTTTTTTCACGAATATGAGGTCACTAATAGTCACAGAATTATCACTGATAATGGGATAACTGTTGGAATTACTACAAAGGCTGTGTGCACATTTACAAGATCACTCAGTACAGAGCTTGCTTCTGCCAGTTAAACAATTATTCTTCACAGCCACTGTTCTCCTGCTCAACTCTTTACACATCTAGTAAGTGCCAGGATGACAAGACAATCCTGCTGACCCAAAGTAAACATTGTTACACAGGCTGAGAACATTGTGGCATCATGACAGCTAGTATACATCATGCATTGTCCCATCACAAGAGCATGCTACTGTTAAAAGAGGTCCATATCTCAACACAATGCAGTCAGATTGTACACCCCAGCAATGTAAGCAAATCCTTTCTTGCCATAGCAAGCACTCAGTCAGTCAGCACATGGTAGCAGGCCAGGCAATGCCAACAAACCATGTGCCAGGCATTTAAATACTTCCTGGATTATAAGACAACATACAAGCTGGGATATATACCTCGTATCACACAGGGGTTATCTACCTACACCGTGAAGTATGACAAGGCTGCTGTTTCTCACTGGTTCTATCTGAGAGCCTGGTCCATGCACAAATCTTCTTCGTTCTCACTTCAATATGTCATGCCTGCCTGACTGAGAGCTGGGTCAGCTATAAATAGATGGGGGCGGAGCTTAGCCCGGGCTGTAGTCCAGGAGTGGGGCTGGATCCAGCCAGGAAGGGGATAAGGTTACGTAATGTCAGGGTATCCAATCTGGGAGGGTAGGTTACACAGGCTGTCAGTAGTTGAGGGATGGGTAACACTTGGAGGAACAGTGTGGCTGGGCTTGTCACTGTGGCCTTGAAACTCCACACTGCTGGCTGGACCGCATATAAAGGAGGAAGTCTGTCTAACAAACTCCCTAGAATCATGTATCTCTTGCACAATAAACTGGGATTGAAACAAGGCTGTTATAATTGTTATTCTTCTCACTCTGAACATATATAAGTTCTTCCTTCATCTTCAAACTTTATCATATCATATTTCCCTTATTTTCACATTAAGATCATCTCAAATTTAACATTTACATTACATGCATTACAACATTTAATGTAGATATCCTCCAGCAATAAATGAATTTAAATATTTCATGATTAATGAATATTGTATTTACCTTAACTCGCTGAATATCTGAAATTTGTAGATAAGAGTGCAACATCGCAACTCTTTCACATCAGAATGAGCATAACATTAGATGCAATTTCTCTCCCACTCTATCTCACCAACTGCGAACGCACGTGTTCGACTTTCTTTATTTGGATGCATCATTGTCACAACAAACATATGAAACATATTGTTACAGAAGTTACAAACAACAAACACCATCACAACCCATTTCACTGTTTACACAGAGACCATATCGGTTTACAGTCGCTGGTTTACACAAATGATCAATTCTAGTTTCATTCCCACAATCCAAAGCACAAAGCTCACTTCTGAGTGTTTGAGTGACACCAGCCATAATGACGGTCAACAGTTGCGAATGGACTAGAAACGCCAGTGATTTGTCAGTGTAATGATCGATTGATACACAATCATCGAGATCCCACCATCTACCCTCATTCTAAACCTGCACCTCTCATGACAAGCATGGGTTACTGGGGACCTGTTCTGCAAGAAGCTTCAAACAGCTTCTTCACCTATCCTGGCACTCTCTAAAAGGGTCGGTGAGTGAGGCTTTCTGCCGGTTTTACCAATATTCCAGCAATATCACGATGGGGGGATACAAGGAACAGTCTTAAAATATGGTACCCATGTGAGGAATTGAACCTGGGTCTTCCGCGTGACAAACAAACACTTCAAACACTAGGCTACCCATTCTCCCCTATCTGAAACAAGTAGCACCTCTGACAGGCATTGTTCTGTTGCTTTTTGTTGACACAGTTATGCAAGCACAATTCTCCATACAAAACACAGTAATAATAGTACATGAGCTGCATGCTCAAAATACTGTAAGTGTTGGATCTGTCACATGAAGATGGAGGTTGTTATGCCACACAGCATGTGATTGTAAGATACTGTAAGTGTTCAATCTGTCACATCCAGATAGAGGTTGTAATGCCACACGTACAGCATGTGGTTGTCACTTTCAGGTGCCCATTGACCACTGCCACATGAAGATGGAGGTTGTTATGTCACACAGCATGTGATTGTAAGATACTGTCAGTGTTGGATCTGTCACATCCAGATAGAGGTTGTTATGCCACACGTACAGCATGTGGTTGTCACTTTCAGGTGCCACTGACCACTGCCATATTGATCGATTTGGTCGACTGTTGAACCAAACCTGGGACTACACATGATATGTCAATAATTACAGACATTGTCTGAAAACAGTCTAAATTTTTTTAGGTCATGTGATGTTTGACCTGTGTAATATTGACCGATTTCACTGCACATGACTGGCTGAGTGCTAATGGGGAAGGGAGTCTGGCTCTCAACTGTGTACATTATGCATAGATTGAAACAAAGCTGTTGTACATTCATTCTTCCCACTCTAAACAATTTGTTGTACGTCATGCTATATTTCCCAGACACCTTAATATTCTCTGTCTTATCATTTTTTACATGTGATACTTGACCTGGGTACAATTAACTGATAGGACCTGCCACTGTCCTTGACCTGTTTTACTCACTCCTGATAGAAAACATGAGAGATTTGCCAGCTGAGTGAGTGGGTCCTAATTATCGTGAATTAAAATTGAAGTGCTACTCTCACAGCAGACAATAACTCGACAAGGTCGTGTATCCCTCTTCACACAAGGGTAATTGTTCTTGAGTCACATGTTGTGAGGACATTGGGTTCCACACAGTTTCTGACAGTATTTCAATCATATCACAGTGTGCAGGCTTCATGTGAAAGGAAAGCCCAAAGTGAACCAGTTCAAACACATTAACCTCTTAAGAAGAACTCATGAACCAAGGGAGGTGGTCGGGTGGCTTAGTGGTTAAAGCGTTTGCTTGTCACGCCAAAGACCCGGGTTCAATTCCCGACATGGGTACAATGTGTGAAGCCCATTTCTGGTGTTCCCTGCTGTGATATTGCTGGAATATTGCTTAAAGCGATGTAAAACCATACCCACTCACTCCCTCACTCATGAACCACTAATCATAACATTTACGAATCTGGGATTCAAACCCACAGACCAGCATATCATGGCGGAGAAAATGCCAGATCTCGTAATACCAGAGGGGTGACACCACGAATTACCTTGGTCTATGGATTTGTAAGTCCTGGGAAGTAAAGATAGGGGTCTGAGGTAACTACTGTAGCAACAGCAAATAACATGCAAAGTACCGTATTCGACGTAATAAGCGCCCAGGGCGCTCTCAAAATTAAAAAATATGGGGCTCTTATTAGGATATTATTTTGATGGAAAAAACAGAGTTGAAAGATAAATTTCGTGGTTCATGCTGACAGCCTGAAATGTTTATATACGACAGATATATATTTCCATAATTTAATTGCCCATAATTAAGGGTGCATATTACATATGAGTGCGTATTATACAGGAATAAATAAATCTTGTGTACATTGATCAATCGGAAGGGGTGCTAATTGGTATTGTTCACTAGTCAATATGTTAGCAATTATCGCCATGGGCGCTTATTAGAGCGGGGCGCTTATTATGTCGAATACGGTATGTATGATGCCTTATGGTAATGCATATGGGGATTCCGAAGTTGGAATCTCTACATGGTGATAGGTGAAGAAATCTTATATAGATTGTCCAAACATTGATTACATTTCTTATCAGTAAAGAGATATCAGATATAAATTGGGTACATGATTTACCTTTACTAGTTTCAATCATTTCAACAGTAAAGACTCGCAGTGAATATTATTTGTGTCCATTCTTAATCTGTATGTCTACAGGATGCAATATATAAACTATATATAAATAAATGTTACTACAATGATGATGATGATGGACATTTGCATCGCACCACATTCATGAATGCATGATCATAGATGGATACAACATTGCTTGCATGATATATGTATTGATAAATATATTGATAATTCATAGACATGTTTCATCAATATCTTACCAAACAATACAATACATTATGATACTCAAACATGAAAACATGGCTCTCCTATGATTATTCAAGCTCACATAAATTTGCAATTTGAAGTTTACATAACGTACAGCAATTTCATGGTGCAAGCCACTTCTCACAACCATAGAATAATGTGAATATTATACATTTTTCATGAGGTTGTATTCTAAAAATTAACATGTCTAGGTCACCTTCACAGACCAGAGGAGGTGAGGTGAAATGGGGTTAAATGTCACGTTTAACATTACTGAATGGACTAATGCTGGTTTTATAGTGCTAGCTCACTGAGATGCCATGCATCAGTATTAACATGAATACCCCATTAGGTCACAGTATACTGCCTCCAAGCCGACCGGTCCTTGTGGTTTTTTCCCCTTAATGTCAAGCGCCTGGCAGTGTAACAACAAGTACCATCTTTTAAGATCTTTTGGTATGCCTTCCACTCACCTGGCAGATGCCCTAGATCACTAAACCACCCTGGTGGTCACAACCCTGAACACTCGGGGACCAGTACACCCTTCTTCTTGATTTTCATTCTTTTAGATATAAAGAAACCAGTATCCTTTGTTTCCAATACCATCTTCCATTATGGAACTCTTCATTACAACAGGGACATCACGAGGCTCTTGCCCACCCCCACAAAAACATGAGTGGACTATTTAAATGGGCTTCTTCAGGTGAGAAGAATGTCTGTCTCAACCGTTCGTCCATGTGTGATCATGATATAGGCATGTACTGAGAGATAAAAAGAAAACGGCATTACAACGATGGGGCACATTAGAATTAGAGTCCTATAAAGCCATAAGAAGAGATAGGTACTTGGGCCGCTTTATATCTACATAAAAAATGATTAAATGAGAAATTAATACACACAAAAAGCTTTAATAGTTTTTGAAAAAATTGTCCCCTTTTAGTAGCAGATGGACGGACGGAAGAACGGATGGAAAGATGCACAGATGGACGGACGGACGGACGTACAGACGGATGGACAAATGCAGTCGAACTCCGTTCTTATATCACGCGCCCCATTTCATGGCGGGGAATAACATTTATCATATAACGAGTAGGTTTCTCGGCAGGATAAAGCAAACATTGCCATCATTATCAAAAGAATAGTCCAATATACTGAAAATCAATGTCGAACTGTGACAAAGCTTAGGCATTTTACAAGTTTTGGCAACTTTGGAGACATAAATTGCGAGAAATTTAGTGAGGACACTAGTAGCCTAGCAGGATCATTTTCCATACCTGTGTTTGTAGACCTCTGTGGCTTTGAAACCTTTCCCCAATTAAAACAGCTGGATTTGATCGAAATAGGTCGCTGAGGCTCGCTAAATACAATGTTTATTCCTAACACAAGATATTTACCATCCCAAAACACACTCGCATGATAACCTCTATGGATCAAGGGCCATAACTCTGTAAAAAAATTTTTAAAAATGAGAGTAATTTTCGAACTCAGTTTTGACAAGTACACTGTGAGTGAGTGAGTGAGTGAGTTGGGTTTAACGCCGCTTTTAACAGTATTACAGTTATATCAC